TAACGAGGTCGATGATTATGAACGGTGATTGTGAGGCCTACGGTAGCCGTGATCACCACTCAGGGTTCTTACTTGCACACCAAGTTTTCTGCTGCGTAGTATTGCCCTTTTGATTTCGGATTTGAGGATCAGTATCGGCTTCAGGCTTGTGAAGTTCAATTGAATTTGGGGATAATGGTTCTGGAATCTGAGGGGTTGTTAGTGAGATTTTTAAAGTTTTTAAGGATTGAGTTGGAGTTGATTTGTCGACAAGCAATTTTGAAACTGTTAGGGAAAATATGATTATGTAAATTTGGAGCTAAATCAATACAACAATAAAGCTTTCATTGTTAAAAAAAAAAATTGATTTGAATTTTGAATAGGAAATGCATACAACCGAACGCCATGAAACTCGGTTAAATTCGATTAGTCTGGTTTAGCTGAAATTTGGGCCGGTTTGTTTCTCATTGCTGATCGGAAGTTATGTATTTTTGTCAAAAAGGCCCAAATGAACCTAAACTATCAGCTACGTGGGCTTTTTTGTTTTATTTTGTTTTTGGGTCCTTTTATTTCTGTTTGGTTTACATTTTACAGCCGTAGTGTCATTTTACATTCGAGTCCTAAAATATCTAATAGATGACGAAATTGTGCGAAGAACCCTAAATTGGAGGAGAGGCACAGAGCAAAGCAAGATGATAATGGTGAAATCTGTTTTTTCCAAGGTGATTGCTAAATTCTGTCTCCATTTAGGGTCTCGTAGTTGTAATTTCCAAAGGTTGAATTTGATTGCTTTTCTCCAGATGCAGTTCGCTCGTGGTCGTGGGAGAAATTTCTCTTCCAGAGTCACCGTGGATAGAGGTAACAGAAACGAAATCGATTATTAACCTAAGAAATTAGATTAAGAAACTGGCTTTGATCTGGTTTCTCCCTTGAGATGTTGATAAGCTCGTGCGTTGGTGTTAACTCTACATTACAAATCTTCAGGGATGCGCAAGGACCTGGCTAAGACTTGGCCAAAGTTTGTCTTTGACGGGATGCAAATCATCTGTGGAGCGATTGGAATTGCTTCTGGATACGGACTTAGTATGTGGTGGAGATGATTGTGATCTATGATGTTTCGAATCTCATTGCCTAATCTTGTTTGCTTGGTTGTTCCTCTTTCAGCTGCTGCTGTTTTTCCTAATCGCTCGGAAGATGCTAAAGAAACTGAAAAGGTACTTTCGACTTGAATTGAGTTTTGCATTTTGCATTTTGCATTTCGCTTGTGATTGCGTTTGTAATTCGTTATCTCTCTGATCTTCCCAGAGATATAGAGCTTCCATGGAACAGAGACAAATATTCATAATTAAGATGACTGAGAGCGTGAAGGAGCTGGAGGAAAGAATAATGGAAATTGAGTCCACCAAGAAATAACAAGATCTCTGTGTCTTGAGTTTGTATCAAAAGGGTAATCATGGCGATGTGGTTACAGTTATATCTACAATGTCTATTCGTAAGAGTGTTATAACTTGTCGCGTCGCTCCATTCTAGATTTAATCAAACCAGAACTTATAAAATTCTCGTTGCTTTGTCTTCTTGCTGGGTTATAAATCCTCATTATCTTGCGAAAAATGGTGTTTAGTTTGGTTTTTGTAATTGTGTTGTTACCACAGCAGCTGGAGAATCTTCTCTTCTTTACCAAAACAATCAAACAAAATTGATAGGAAGAATGATTGTTTGATTGTTTTGTGTGTGTGTATGTGTGTACATTTAAATTCCAACAAAAATGAGCGATTGTTTATTTAAAAATATAATCGAGTTTATCTTAACGAAAAAAAAGAATCCGAGTATGTTTCAGTTCGTATTACCTTTTTCAAAAAGAAAAGTCCCTCCGTTTAACCAATTTGAATATCTATTCTCACCGACTGATGAATCAACTGGATTTTGTAAAAACGAGACTCATTGTATGTTATCATAACGTGAACCTCACAGTGTCCTGTTATCAAAAATCCAAGTTCTAATCAGACTTGGCAAATTGGGCAAGTCACTGCATCCTCTGTCCATGGCAAACGGACTATGTCCTGTAAACACTTCTCAAGAAGAATGCTTATTGAATTAGTTGAAATCAGGTCCGGTTTTATGCATGTGCTGGGAGTGCATTTGCACAGGGTGCAGGGCCCAAATTATTAATTTTATACCATTTAGTACTAAGTTTTAGGGCCTATTTTTTGTCGACAAAGAGAATCACAGTTAACAGCCCAATTATATTTATATTATTCAAAGTGTCTCAAATAATTAAAATATTAGATAATATCAACTCTGTTAGAAAAAGAAAAAAAAACTAAGATCCGCCGGAGATAATAAAACCTATGGACAATCGCAAGATCTGCAGGTAAATCGAAAATTCATTGGGCAAAGGTTTTATTTTTCTTCTAATTTTGATCTAACCGTTAGAGATTTTTCAATCTTTTCCTGATAAAATGATGAGTTTCGATTTCACTATGTCAATCAGAATCTGGTCTCCTTCTGATTTTTCTCTTCTCTGTTTGTTCTTACTTCTTAGCCATATGTTCCTTATTTCTCTAAACTCCAGCAAGTTCAGCATCTTCAAGAGGCTACAATCCAGCAATTTCCTCATTTCCTCTAATCTTCATAAGAATCCAAGTTTTATTGTTTCCTTTCCAGATTCTTTAATTAATATTTTGATCTTGGCATTGTTAAGTTAAGTTAAATATGGTTTCATCTGGTCATGCTAAACGACTTAAAAAGGATCATGTAGGTAATTTTATCTTGTCACAAAATGGAGCTATGGATAAATTCGTTGTGAGAATGACACCCGAAAAAGAAAAAAAAATGATGATATTGATATTGGTGTTTCTAGTGCTCATGAGGATGTCGTTAATAATAGTCAAGCTCCTGAAATGCTTGAAAAAATTGATGATATTGGTGTTTCTAGCTGTGTACTTGATATCTATGATCCAAGAAATTGGGATATGCTTGATTCAAACTGATAGAAACATTAGCACTAAATGGACCAAAAAGAGATTTATCCATTGTTAAAGGTCCTAAAAATAAAGTTTATAGAAGATTTGTTTCATCTTGCTACACTAGAGAATTGGTTAATGGAGAAACAAGTGATAGAAAATGGTTAGTTTATTCTAAAGAATTAGATAAAGCTTTTTATTTTTGTTGTAAGATTTTTAAGAAAGGTGTTAAGAAGAGTCAACTAGCAAAGAATGGTTTTTCCGATTGGACTCATATACTTGTTTTTTTTTTTTTTTTGATAAACTGTGAATATATTACCAAAAAGGGAACAAGAGTGCTTTACATGAAAACTAGAAGCTTCAAGGGCCAAAAAAAAATTAAAAAACCAGGATGAAACTATGAAATTGCAATAGCTAATTGCAATACACTAGGCAAAGGTGAACCACTGAGTTAGAAGGCCGTTGCAACGCTTACGATTGATGCAAGCTAGGAGGGAGTCCCTGATAGTGACTCATATACTTGTTAGATTAAAGGAGCATGAAAAAAGTAAGGAACATATGCTTAACATGACAGCTTGGATTGAATTATGGCATAGTTTCAAAAAAATAAAACTATTGATAAGATTGCTCAAGAACAGTTTAAGAAAGAAAAAGAATATTAGAAAAATGTATTAATAAGAATTATTGCTATTGTGAAATATCTTGCAAAACATAATTTGGCTTTTCGTAGAACACATGAAAAATTATATCAAATTAGTAATGGTAATTTCTTGGGATTAATAGAGATGTTAGCAGAATTTGATTGTGTTATAAAAGAACATGTTTATAGGATTACTAATGGTAGTATTCATTATCATTATCTTAGTCATAATATTCAAAATGAATTGATTCTTTTGATTGTTTCAAGAATTAAATCAAAAATCATTACAAGGATAAAAAAAGCAAAATATTTTTCTGTGATTTTGGATTGTACTCCGGATGTTAGCCACCAAAAGCAAATGACCTTAGTTCTAAAGGTGTGTTCATCTTTCATCAACTTCTTATAAGGTAGAAGAGTTTTTTGTTGAATTTTTTAAAGTAGATGACACAACAGGCTTGGGACTTTTTGAAATATTAAAAGATGTATTAAAATCTCTAGATCTTGATATAGATAACCCGTCAAGGTTATGATAATGGATCAAATATGAAAGGACATAAACAAGGTGTACAAAAGAGATTTTTGGATATTAATCCTAGAGCTTTTTATACACCATGTGCTTGCCAATAATTCTGTGAAAGTGAAAGATTTTTTTGGTGTAGTGCAGCGTTTATATACATTGTTTGCTAATTCTATAAAAAGATGGGATATTTTGAAAAATAATGTGAAAGGTTTAACTCTTAATCAATTGTCAACAACACGTTGGGAAAGTCGTGTTGAAAGTATTAAAGCCATAAGATTTCAGATTGCAGATATACGAGAAGCTTTACTAGAAGTAGCTGAAAATGATAATGATCCAATGATTCAAAGCGAAGCAAAATCATTAGCAATGAACGAACTTAGTAGTTTTGAATTTTTATTATCTAGTATTCAGGCCCGGTTCTATGCATGTGCTGGAAGTGCATTTGCACAGGGTCCAGGGCCCAAATTATTAATTTTATACCATTTAGTACTAAGTTTTAGGGCTCATTTTTTGTCGACAAAGAGAATCACAGTTAACAGTCCAATTATATTTATATTATTCAAGGTGTCTAAATTCTCAAATAATTAAAATATTCGATAATATCAACTCTGTTGACCACACCACCAGAGCCGTGACAACCAAACATATACCATAAATAAATTAAAAAAATATGCCCTTATTTTATTTAAGGATTTTCTGCAAATTAACCCTTCAAGTGGTTTCTTTTTGCAAGTTTACCTTCAAATTTCAAAAAATGCAATTCAAACCTCCACCTCTTGGTCACCCGCAATATAAACTTCTCCATATCGATGATGTGGCAAAATGGATGTCTGTTTAAAAATTAAACGGTTTGTTAAACACACCGTTTTCACAAGTAAAAAAATGACAAGCAGTTAAAATGAAGTGTCGTTTTGAAGAAAAAAAACAATTATTGTGAAAAGGCTCTATCTTCTCTCTCTATCGTGTGTGTTTGATATGTTTACTTCTGAAGAAGTAGATTTCTTCACATTCCAAATCTAATTGTATTTGGTAGATTGAAGTGGATTTATCTAGAAAATTATTTTAATCGAGAGTTAGGGAGATTAATTGGTGGTTAGAAAACAGATTTTGTATTGAATCGAGAGTTAGGAAGATAATTCATCTCTTAGTTGATAACAATGCTTTCTTTTTTTTCCTAATTTTTTTATCATCTCTTTTTTTATGTTAAAAATAACTAAAAACAAAGTGTAGTTTTTATGTTTAAAACGGAGAGTTTTGATTTCCGTCAATGATATAACGACTGTTATCTAAAAAGATTATATTGCGGATTGACCAAAAACTAGAGGTTTGACTTACATTTTTTAAAAATCAAGGGTAAATTTGCAAAACAAAACCACTTGAAAGGTTGATTTGCAGAAAACCCTTCATTTAACTAAGTAATAAAATAATTAAAAAATATAAAAAATTGTATTTTAATCATATTAATTGCTAAAAAAATATTGAAAATTTATTAATTAATTCTCAATTAAATCAGTAGTTTAAGTAAAAAAAAAGTTACATAACCTATTTTATCTTTTTATTCTAATTCTTTGATATTAACAATTTTTTCTATTAAAATCCTAAATTACTAATTTCTTATCCAAATTCTTAATACTTTTTATTTATTTAATTACTTAAAAGTATTGTAAACTTATAAACTCATATATAAGTTACTTTTTTTTACAGTATATATAATTTACTTATAACTAGGTGATCGGCCCGCACCATGTGCAGGCTATAAAATATTTTATATGTTAAATATATAATTAATATTATATATTGAAGATTTTTTTATTTCTATATGATTAATTATGTATTAATAATAACATTATATAAATATTTAATAGAAAAAAAATCTGAAATTATGTATTAATAATAACTACTTATCCTAAGAGCAGGTAGATGGATGGTCCGCACATTCGTGCGTACCAACCACCTCACTGTTCTTATGACATATAGAAATTTTATTAATAAATACAAATTGACTAATAACTAAAATTAAAATTAGACTATACTCGAGGTTAAGAAAATGTATGCACGGCAAGTTTGCATGCGACTTTGATTTTTGAATAGTTAATATTTATATATACATGCACCATTGTCAAAAAATCGAAGTATGATTGATAATATATAATTGATTTTTTTATTAAAAAATACGTATATTTATACATGTAGATATGAGTTATAAATAAGTGGATTGTAATATTTATGTGTTAGTTAGTTTTTCTGATATTTTCCGCAAACGTTATGATTTTACACGATACAGTTTTGGTGTTTAACAACAATCACGAAAACCGTTTCTATCATTTTGTACTAAATCAAAATTTCTTATTTTCAGCGTTTTATGATTTATGGTTTCTTAACAAAAATTATAATAAAAAAATTTATTATAATATTTGTGAATTTCTTATTTTATAAATTTCTTCAGTAGCTCTCTTCTTATCTCTTCGTCAAAATTTCTATAACCTGCAATCGCTCGCTTTCACAAATTCTCTGTAATCGCAACGTTTAAACCAGTCAGATCCTAAACTTATATGTGTATAGCTGAAGGTGTAAAATAATATATTTAATATTTAATTGTTATATACAAAATAAGATTTTTTTGTTCCTAACTTTAATATATGTGTTAATCTTATATATAATGGATCATAACATATACAAAACTTGATTCATGAAATAATATTTTAAGATGTTGAAAAAAATATATGCATAAAAGAACTAATATGTGTAAGATAATATTTTTATATTTTTTAAATAAAAACATAAAATCGATCCAAATTATTCTTTTTTGTCTTATTTTTTTCTTAACTTTGAATAAAATATTAAACATTAAGATTATTTCCAATGTATTTTTCTTTTTTTTCTTCTAAAATATAGGTGAATTTCTCTATAACATATTTCTATCTTAAAGAAAAAAAAGAAAAATTGTTACTTTTTCCTCCAATTATAGAAGAAAAAATAACACCGATATTTTCCACTAAATTAAAACATATAAAATAAATGTGGGTTAGAGATGCTTTAAACCAATGACATAGCTTGTGATTTTTTACAGAAATCCAAAATCGTAAAGATTCAGTTTTACTTTTACTTTTACTTCTTATTCATATATTTAATTATATTATATCAAATAAAATTTAAAATAAATATTTATTATAAAATTTGTGACAATGAAACAGATAATAAAATATTTTATATTATACAAATAATATTATATCATACTCTTAACCGTATTAGTATATAACGTATGTACTATCTTATTAGATAATCTATTATTATTTTTTCTATTTAAAAATATAAAATATATATTGGTTGTAAAATTTTCTTAATCATATTTTATGCAATCTATTATGAATATATGTAAAAACAAATTGAAACCATAGTGATTATTATTTTTTATTTAATTAAATTTATAAATTTTAGTGTTATAATCTAGTGTATTTATGTTATAGTTATATAATTTATTTAATTATGACTTAACCAATCAAAACATTTTGTTTATTTTAGGAAATTTGTCTTGTCACATTTCCATGTCACAATTCCATGTCACCATTAATTTGACACATCATAATTTTTTATTAAACATGCTTCTCAAATAATAGTTAAGATTTAAAACATTAAGTAATGTAGGCTCATATGGCCATGCCCATATATAAAATTTATTACTAATAAAAGTTGATGCTAAATGCCTTTAAGGGTGTCCACATAGGATTTAAAGATTCAATTCTATTGGTACACATCATCATTATTTTTAGTTAATTATATATTTTCTATTAAAATTAATTAATTTGTTTTAATTGTTATAAGGAAATTTTCTAAATTTTAAATAAATTTGTGTTTGTTGTTATTAGGAAATTTTCTAAATTTTAAGTTAGCTATTAATAAAAATGAGTTTTGAAAATAGATCTTATTTTTCTATTAACAATAAAAAAGTAAATTAACATATAAATAGATTATGAAAGAAAAATTATATATATTGAAAAAATATTGAAAAAACTGTATTTAAAACCATAATTAAATTATTTAAAAATTTAAATCATGACAAACAATTAAAATTTAAACTGCTAACTTAAACTATATTAGTTGTGGACCGTATTGATGTCTTAGGCCAATAAAAGCACCAGAGTTCGATCTCTATCTTGGGGTCAATCTCTCGGATTCTGTTACAATAGATAACGCAACTACTATAGTAAGCAAAGAGATCATCCACACGCCTCGTTCAGACCATTTTCACGTGTGTCTTGTTGATAAAGACAGAGGACCTCCATTCTTGTCTGTGCTAGAACTCAGGCTACTGAACAATGATACATACGAAACTCCTTATGATTCTCTTATGCTGAACCGAAGATGGGATCTCGGGGCACTCGGAGACCGTCCTGTCAGGTTAGCATGAGTCCTGTTACATTATATGGCCGTCTCTTAGCTTGTTCTGTTCTTAAATTACGTTTTCTCAGGTACAAAGATGATGTGTATGATCGTATATGGAATCCTCTAAAGTTCCCAAATCATAGAGTTCTCAGTACAAACCTCACGATAGATCCGAATAATAACATTGGATTCCAGCCAGCTCGTGCCATCATGAACACTGCTTCGACACCAATATACGCAAGCGTAGACATAATCATCTACTGGATACCAGAAACCCCTTCGTGGAAGTACTACGTGTACATGCATTTCGCTGATGTTCAAGAGATTCCAAGCAACGAGACGAGTGAGTTTTCGGTGTTTTGGAATGATGAAACTAACCTGTATGAAAACTTTAGCCCTCGCTTCTTGTATACAGACACACTTTACACTCAGAGTGCAGTCACTGGGCCGAGCCACGAGTTTCGTCTGCAACGAACTGCTAATTCCACACTCCCACCAATCATCAACGCTGTTGAGACGTATCGTGTCAACGAGTTTCTTCAGCCACCTACTGATCAACAAGATAGTATGTTTATGGTTTAATTTCCTGAAACATAATCTTTTAAGTCTGCACACTTAACCATGTTTGATTGAATTATAGTTGATGCAGTTATGCGAATCAAGTCCAAGTATGGTGTGAATAAGAACTGGCTTGGAGACCCTTGTGCGCCTGTAAAATATCCTTGGAGGGATATTGACTGCAGCTATGTCGATAATGAGTCTCCGAGAATCATTTCCGTGTAAGCCTTTCGTCAAGTGCATATATATGTTTTTGTTCTCTGTCTCTCTCTCTCTCTGTTCTTCTCACCAGAGTTGTTTGATCTGCAGGAATTTATCCTTAACTGGCTTGTCTTGTCTAACCTTACGTTTATACAGAAACTGTCTGTATTTTCCATTTGATCTCAAATCTTTAGTACTCAGAGTTTTGTGATATCTTTTATCTGACGCAACCAAAAAATTCATGTCTTGGGTTCATGTGTTCATGTCTCCTGCATTTTCATTTGTAAGACTTGGAGGGAATGCGGACCTCTGCGTGTCTGCTTCATGTCAAACTCTGGATTTGAAGACACAGAAGAGTGCATATATTGTTCCATTAGTAGCATCCGTCGTGGGAGTGTTTGGTCTTGTAATAGCAATAGCTTTGTTCTTGCTTTACAAGAAGAGACATCAAAGTGGTAAAGACATCAAGAAACTATCATAAATTCTTTGTTCTGTAATTTCTAGGATTGCTTGAAAGAAAAATACTCATGAGATCTTTACAGGTGGCTCTGGTGGTGCCAGGAATGGTCCGTTGGACACAAAAAGTTGTGAAAGTTACAAACAAGTTTGAGAGAGTTCTTGGACACGGAGGCTTTGGAAAAGTGTACCATGGTGTCTTCAGTGATGACCAAGTTGCTGTCAAGATTCTGTCTGAATCATCACCTCAGGGTTACAAATAAATAATTTTGATACTATTTCTATTAGAATAAATAATTATTTACGTGGGTAAGAAGATCATTTATTCTAATCTTTATATGAATCAAAATTCAATTATGATGATCATTCCGTATCAAATAAATTTTCACGTACACGTGTGTTTACAAATTGTCTTCATGAAATTTTCTCTCATATTTTCCATCAAGGATGGCCTTGAAGCGGAAATAGCCGGACCAAGGCAAAGAACTAGCATCAAAACATTATAACATCAGGTATATTATATGTTTCAGTTTACAAATAAATACATCTACACCAGTTACGGATTTCTATCAACTTTCCTCATTCATGATTGATTTGTCAAGTGTTTTTTAGTTGATGATCTGTGGTAGGGATACACAAGCATGGTTTGTTCATCTGAGATGGCATGGAGTATTTTCAAATCTGGCTTGGATCTATCAAGGGGTATGTTCCAAAACACATTGGAGTTGTTGAAGTCCATAAGTACGCTTCATATATTAGTCTAGATTATCGCTCCATAAGTACGCTTCAAACAAATGATTAGATCAACCGATAAGATACCGTTTTCAAGGTTTCAGAGGATCGATCGAACATTGTATATTCTTCTTTCCCAAGCATAAAATTCAGTTGATTCATCTTAAGATGCATGTGAACGATATTTCTTGCATATATCTAACTAACGGTTTCATTCTAGTGCTTGGCATTAACCTCTAAGGAGCCACACTCTTTCTGTAACCATTTGATCTATAGCATTATAGCAATGAGGCGGGTTGTCTTATGTTTTACGTAGGAAACATCCCTTTATACTTTATGTGTTTCTTTCCACAAAAGTTGTGGTTTTTTTATCTAGTGATGTAAAAGAAGATTAATTAGGATCCCTAATCTACGTACGTATCACAACTCTTTAATTAATTTAACATTTGAATTTGTTTATTGATTACCATTTGTCACTTATACAAAATCTAGAGGATTTATTAACCATGAACATTTTTCTCTTTGGTGTTTCTCATTCCTATAGCTTGTTTTCATCCTGCAATGTCAACATATAAACCATGTCAGCGATCTATACACGCAACAAAAGAAAGTGAAAGATAGTATATATGAGTATGATGAGTTCATCTACTAGTTGAAATCACACTACTATACGCAAAATACGTTTGAGAAAACATTATTAGATTTTGACTATGTTCTCTCAAAGCTGATTTGTATTTTTATATACGTAACAAATTAATATTTGTTATATGCTTAGGCGTTATACGTGACACTACTTTTTCTAGGTTTAAGCCATTTGTGCATACTTTTTCGTCCGGTCTATCTTTGATTTCTTTTCATCAAGAATGGTAACACTTTAATTCAAACAAACTAATAATAGTAACACCTTTGTTATTAACATTTTTTGGGGTATCTCCATTAAATTTAAATTGATTACTCTGAAAGTAAAATGTTTATTCCTAACAAAATTATAAAATCTAGGCTGTCTCTAGCTGTTGTTCAATTCATCTTAATCTTAAGAAAATAGTATTATTATCCGGAGATTGTATTTTTCTAACGTGGTCGAAACTTATAGTTCTAGGTAGAAAAGTAATAATAACATTCAGATTATTTTACAGGTTTTTTTCTTTTTTTATCTCTACAGTTACAGGTTTGAGCATTTTTTTTCTTTTTTTTATCTCTACAGTTTCACGAGTTGTTGTGCCTTTAAAATTTCTGACTTTTTGTCACAATTAAAATCAATCAAACCAATGATGAAATATTGATTCTTAAAAATAATAATAGATTAGATACCCATAGAGAAGAGAATTTTGTTTCAAAATTTACTATGACATTTTGTTTACAATAGAATCCAATCAATTGATGATTGAAAACTTCAAATATATAGTTCTTGAAACTTGCCATCAATGATCTCCTAGCCGTGGAAAGATTGAATAACATTTGTCATCTAAAAATAGTTTTTTTTTGTATGAGTTTTGTTTTTTATGTTTATGTTAGATTTCCATGTAAATTCACTTATGTCAAAAACTTCAACAAGAAAAAGAGCTTTCTCCAAAACACAAACATGTTTTGAGGTTTTTGTGTTTAGTATTTCATCATGTTCTATGGTTTCAACAAATGTTTATAAAAGCCATACTTCTTGTCTAAGAGAGAGAATTTCTTTGATATGAAGGAGAACGCCAAAGAAAATTCTCTTCTGAAAGAGAGTGGCTGCTGTATTTGTTGCAGAGTGAGCAGCAGTCTTGTTGGTGAAGGTTCTCAGATAAGAGAACTCTGATGGTCTGCGCAGAAACTTGGTCGTCAAAGAAGCCTTCTTTATGTGGGTGTAGGAGACCATCGATATGAGTGTTGAAGCATCCCTTATTGCTTAGACTGAGAAGCATGTGTATTCCTCAATGATCAGATCATTTGATGTTTCACAGATGCAGAGCATCTTCAACAATTTCCTCTTGAGCGCATTGTAAACATCTTGATTCCAAACATGAAAGATAAATGAGGACACAGCCGTGAAATTTCAAAATCAAAATCGTTAGTGAAGAACATGATTCAACGTCCATGGACATGGGCTTTTTCACCTTTATATCTGTTTCAAAAGCAATTAATCTTCATAGTTACATTCGTATGACAAATTTTATTTTTGTTTCACTTCCATCTCTAGTCTTTTGAAACTCTGAAGAATATATTTTTACTAAACATGTAAAAGTTTGATTGAATTTTAAGTGTATATTCCAAACATTCAGTTTGGTATGAGATTAATTCGGCGCTGGTTCGGTTAGACCAAAATTAAATCTGCATAGGAAAAATCAGGCCGTCGTCGTTAGGAAATAAGAAACCATGTCGTTTTTAAGTCCACAAAACAGCGCGTTGTTTGACACTGCGATAAACAAACGACGTTTTTAAACCCTAGTTTGTAATTGGTCTTAAACCCATCTCCGATCCCAACTTCCCAGAATTCGATTTCTGCCGTGAAATTTGTTTGTTTCCCCGAATTTCACGACGATAATCGAAAGAGGAAGACGATGGTTTGGTTTCAATGCGAGGACTGTGGAGCGAGTCTGAAGAAGCCAAAGCTCCCGCCTCACTTCAGGATGTGCAGCGCCACAAAGGTCTCGATTCAGTTTCTTTTGGTTTCTCCTTTTCAAAATCGATTCTATTTGATGGTTCTTCTCTTAAATCTCTTCGCTTTTTTGTGTGTGTTGCCAAACAAAAAAAATAGTTATCGTGCCTCGACTGTGGAGAAATGTTTGGGAAAGATAGTGTTCAAGGACATAACCAGTGCATTACCGAAGCTGTAAGTGATTTTACCATTTCTATAGAACAAATTGGCTTAGATTTTAGGTTCTTGGCTATGTCTTGGAATAAGAGAGTGAAGAATTGTTTCTGTGTTCTTGAATGCTTTTGTTTCTCTCTGTAATTAGGAGAAATATGGTCCAAAAGGTCAGTCAAAGCCATCTAATGGCACACCTGCAAAGCCAAAGGACAACTCGAAGCAACAGCCAGATTTCGATATAAATGTTGGCTTATCAAATCGGTATCCATGGTTTTGTAGGTATTCACACTTCTTTCGACCTTCTTTCAATTTTTTGCTTTCAGTTTCCTGGTTAGTGCATTGTATGATGATAGAGCGAATGTTAGGCTTTCGTTTCAAATGTATGTATCGTTGCTTGCGTGTGTTGTCTTGTGGTGAAGAGTTTTAATGAGGACATGGTTTTGAGTATTTGTCTTATTTGTTTGCAGTTTGTGTAACACAAAGGCTACAAGCCAGCAGACTTTGCTTGCCCATGCCGATGGGAAGAAACACCGAGGAAAAGCAAAAGCCTTTCATGCTAAACAGCAACCACAGCAATCCACGGTGGATGCAACCGAGAATGCTCTTAATGGTGATTCCGAAGAGAAGAAAGTAGATTTATTACCTGTCTCCTCGGCTGCTGCGAATGGAGAGTCTCATGCTGAGAAGAAGAGAAAGCTAGAGACTTTGGACGGAACGAGTAACGGAGAGGTAGTTCAAGGCGAGGAATCAAAAGGAGGTGAAGTGAAGAAAGCGAAGAAGCAGGACGATGAGAAGAAAATCAATTGGAAGAAGTTGATCACTTCGGCTTTGAAATCTGTACGTATATCAATCAACTTGCAATATCCAGTATTTTCAAATGCAAAGACGACTGCAAAATTTAACACATGTATGAATTTGTATTTGATACAGAGCGAAGATAAAACTTTGAAGATGAAGAAACTGAAGAAGCTCGTTGTGGAATCTCTTGTGGATTCAGGCATAAAGCGAGACAAATCCGACGTCAGTGCAGAGCTAGAGCTAAAGGTCAGTTAATCTCACTCTGTCTAGTTAAGATACAACGATCTCTTTTCCCTTTAAGAAAGGTCTTCAATCACATTTAAAGTCTTTTTGTTGTTTTCTTTCTTGCAGGTGAACTCGAGTTCCAGATTTACGGTTGATGGTAAGTACGTGAAACTTGTGGCTAAAGATTGAATCGAATCCTTGAGACAACGGTAACTTGCCCCAGACTCAAAATCGGTTTTTTGCCCGTCACATTTTTGCCATTACCGTCTGTACCAAAATTCTCATTAAACTATGGAATTATTTACTGGCTCTGAATGCTTTGTTTGTTTTTTTACTAATCGACTCAAACCAATTGGAAATTACATTGTCACACTCGTTTTAATTAAAGCTTTAACCCATATCGATCCTGTGTAACGTGAAATTTAGAACACCAAAACGGTCATAACACCTTACAATAACATAGTATAGAATCGTTTAGCACACGCTAACAACCTAGCATGCAAATCACAAAATCAAACATGTAAAACATCAAACCCTAGCAATCCAACGATCCTAAATACTAATTACAGTCACGCACTTACCATAGATAACGATCCTAAATACTAATTACAGTCACGTACTCATCATAGACAAGGTTGGAAACAGATTAGTCAGAAGAAATCCTGATGAAACTCGCGTGGAAACGAAGATATCCGATCACCTAGGAATCTCTCGGCTCTCGGTACGATCTGACCCTTTTCCCCTCGGCTATCTCTTGATCAGTTCACCTTTCTCCGAGCCAAACTTTGTTTGCCTTCAGAAACCCCACAAACAAGGCTATTAGCTCGGTCATGATGATTCAATGCATTACACCAGTTGGAGAATGTGCTCAGCTCAATCACAGAACTCCTGGAAGAAGAATCATATCAAATGGAGTTCAGATGAAGGAGTTATTCAATTCACAAATCAGGTGATCTCCAGTTTACCGGATTCGGACCTGTGTGTATTCATTGAAAGATTCCAACCAGGCCAGAATGAACTAAGCTACAAACCGTCTCATTCTACAATCTTGATTCATCAGAGAAGCCCAGAAAATTGGGTTCAGACCAAAAACAACCAAGGAAGATCAAGTTTGGTTCATAGAAAAGACTGCATTTAATTATATATATTTCTTTCTCTTACATGTACTTTAGAGTTTGGATTTTATCTTTACAGATGTTCTGCATGTTTAGCAACTGTTATGGACGAATTTGTTGTAATTCCTCTATAAATAGAGGCTCATTTTTATTAATAAAAATCTATCTATCTTTTTATCAAAATCTTTTCAAGTTACATTCATCTCTTTGGTATGTAATATCCAAAAAAATCTTCAATGCTTTTAATGTGTAATATCTGAAAGTTTTGAAAAGTAAATCAGGAGTCTTCTGCAGCTTATGCGCGATCATTCACTCCACATCCTTTGATCTTTGAGACTTTGCGATTTCTTTGATGCAAAGTTTATTTCTTGCCAATTCTAGAGTGCTGATTCTTGGGAGGATCACATTACAAACATAAGACCAATAATTTCAAATTTAAGAATACCAAACTGTAACATATTATAATTTATTTGTTTCAATTCAGACCAAACTTCAGTTATATTACATCTTTTCATAGATTTTAATAGTTACATAGTATAAAAAAAAAAATTGCTTTAAAACATCTTAAAAATTATAAAATAAAATTATGAGAAAACACAAGTTAAAAAGAACAAATTAAGTAACTAACAATAGATAATTTGGGTTATTAGATTTAATATTATAAATTAAAAAAATGAATTAAAAAACCCCTAGTAATCCCCTATATATTAAAAGAGAAGCATTTTTAAAGAATAACCTTAATTTTGTAAAATATTACAGTGGTGCCATTTTGCTGATGTGTCATCACCAGAATCATTTTCAGCAAAGTTATAAAAATAGACTTATGTTACTAGATTAATTACATGTTATGCCACTCACATTCATTTTGTTATACATTAGTTTATATCAATTATATTGATGATGATTCATCAAGATATTCTTTTTTTCTATTTCTTACCAAAAATATATCATATTAATTATTTCTTCAAATACTATATGTTATCTCTTATCTTTATAGAAAAATAAATCATCACATCACTCATATAGTAAAATATATATACATATATATATATATATTTTTTTGTGTTATAATTCGAATTTCATAAAACAAATATAAATTACTCAAATAATTAATAAATAAAAGTATGTTTTAAAAGACTAAAATTGAAAATAAGGATGTGTAGATAGATGATTCATAAATTAATATAAAAATACATAAATGATAAAAAAAAAACAGGAAGATTAATTTAATAGATATTAGTATTTTTAATTTATACAACAAAATTACTTGGTGAAAAATTAAAATATTTTTGTAAGGATATTATATAATAATTTATTAAATTTTTTGATATTAAAAATATTTTTATTGAATCAAAAAGTTAAGAATGTATAAGTATTGACTCAGTTATATACAATTTTAGATAATTTATTACAAATAATAAAAAAATATAATCTATTTTTATATAATTCTTGTGTATATTTAGTATTTAAAATAAATTTTACATTAATTTTGTTTTCTTAAAAGTTAATATTCTTATGACTATAATTTTTGCGAGTTAATCTAAATATGCATTTATATTCGTATAAGAAATATTAAAATCGATTATAAAATCTTATAATTAAATTTTATTTTTTAAAATTTTAATACTCTCTATTTCAAAATATAAGTTGTTTTGCATCAAAGCACAAAGATTAAAAAGCAATTTTTCTTTTAAAAAAATAATCATTTATTATATAAATTAAATATAATTCAACAAATTATGAAAAACTAAAAAATATAATCGGTCACATAGTAGTCATAGAAAGTAGTAAAAAATATGAAAACAACTATATTGTGAAACAAAACAAAACCTTAAAAAAAACTAATATTATGAAACAGAGGAAGTAGTAAATTTTTATTATTATTATCATAACGTATTAGATAATTATGAATTTAATCAAAATATACTCCCTCTATTTTTTTTTAATTTTAAGATCATGTTATTAATCATGGGTTATAGAAAATATAAAGAGGGATTTCGTATTTCTATCCAGATTGCACATATATATTTAATTTTTAAACTAATTTATATTATAATTAAATTACCCTAAAATTCATAAAATAAACAAAAAAAATTATTTTGTCAATATTACATCATAATATTATAAACAACTCATATAAAATCAATTATATTTTGTTATATGATTTTAAAATTATACTATATTAAATAAATAATTATTATTTTACCCCGCACCGGATGCCGATTATTACCTAGTATTAATATTATATAAGACTGCTCTAAGAAAATTTAAAATTGACCAACAACTGCATTAAATGTGGCTTTGAAAATTGCATCCGCAGTTTTGAATAATCAAAGAGCGTTTCACGACTTGTGAAGTCAAGCTTTAGTTTCTTCCATAATTGCTAGATTTGTCAAGATCACTCGTTTCAAAGAGAAAAACAAAATTTTCAGAGAAAAACAAATACAATGCACTCTTGTAGTGAGAGGAAGATGATGATATGGAGGATGTGGTTATTCTTCTCTCTTTCTAGCTCAATACATGTTTCCGCTTCTTCTAGTACGCACTTGTGTCGTTCAGACCAGAAGGATGCTCTCTGGGAGTTGAAGACCGAGTTCTATGTCCAAGGGAGTATCGGTGAGGGGTGGAGGAACAACACTGATTGCTGCTCTTGGTATGGTGTCTCTTGTGATCCTAAGACGGGCGTGGTGGTTGAGTTAGACCTCATTGACAGTTCTGTCAACGGTCCTCTGAGATCTAATAGTAGCCTGTTCAGACTAGAACATCTTCAGAGTCTGAATCTCAGCTACAATGATCTTTCGGGTATTCTTCCAGATTCCATCGGCAATCTCAAGTATCTAACGGATTTGAGTCTTCAAGGTTGCAACCTCTTTGGAAAGATTCCTTATTCACTTGGAAATCTTTCTTATCTCACTCATCTTGATCTTTCTTATAATGATTTCACCGGTGAGATACCAGATTCGATGGGCAACTTAAACCGACTAATAGACTTGGACCTTACGTCGAACAAGCTAAGTGGGAACTTTCCTCCTTTGCTACTCAATTTGACCACGCTCCATGGGATCCAACTTGGTTCTAACCAGTTCGAAGGTATGCTCCCATCTAACATGAGTAGTCTCTCCAAACTGGAAACTTTTGATATATCAAAAAATTCATTTCATGGATCTATTCCGCCATCTCTTTTCATGATCCCTCCGTTGATCAGCCTTAGCCTGGGAAGTAACCACTTCAGCGGTTTTCCTGAGATTGGGAATATCTCCTCACCATCTAAATTTGAAATGTTATCTCTTGAAGAAAACAATATCACTGGGCCAATCCCCGGATTTATATCAAAACTAGTTGGGCTCATATATCTTGACCTCTCTTCTTGGAACACGGGAAGGGGTCTTGTTGATTTCAGCATCTTCTCACATTTCAAATCACTTGATACACTTTTCCTCTCCAACCTGAATACAAGAAGTATGGTTGACCCGAGTCTTTTCTCACATCTCATGTCACTTCGACAGCTGGATCTTTCAGGAAATAATTTGAAGATTAATTCAAATCTCCATCTTCTGCCACCAATAGAATCCTTGTTTTTATCATCCTGCAATATTGTTGAGTTTCCCAAGTTTCTTCAACACCAAACACTCTTGTATTTCTTAGATATATCTGCCAATCAAATTGAAGGTCAAGTACCAGAGTGGATATGGAGTCTGCCAGATTTGAACTATCTAAATATTTCTCAGAATTCCTTCAGTGGTTTTGAAGGATCAGCAGATGTTATTCAAACAAGTACCCCACTAGTTATGCTTGATGTAAGTTCAAACACCTTCCAAGGTACGCTTCCTTTGTTACCAGACCTTTCATACTTTTTGGGCTCGGAGAATGGGTTTTCCGGAGAGCTTCCTAAGGCAATATGTGAAATTTCGAGGCTTGAGATACTAGTCTTATCCAACAACAACTTGAGCGGCTCTCTTCCTCGGTGCCCTGAAAATTTCTCTATTGCTCTTTCTGTCTTGCATCTTCAGAATAACAGCTTCTCTGGTGTTTTTCCTGAAGAATATATCAGTGATCATTTGAAATCACTTGATGTTGGTCACAATCGATTTTCAGGGGAACTCCCCAAGTCTCTGATCAACTGTACCCAACTCGAGTTTCTGAACGTGGAAGACAACATAATCAATGACACGTTTCCATTCTGGTTGGGATCTTTGCCAAATTTACAGATTCTCGTCCTTCGTTCTAACGAGTTCCATGGGCCAATATTTTCTCATGGAAATTCTTTGAGTTTCTACAAACTTCGAATCTTTGACATTTCAGAAAATCTCTTTACCGGATTCTTGCCATCAAACTATTTTGCGGGTTGGAGTGCATTGTCATCGTTTGTTGAGATTAAAGCTAGTATGCACACCAGGTTCACAAGTGAGTATCATCAGTCAGTGGGTCTGACGAACAAAGGATTGAAAATGGAGCTGGTTGGGAGTGGTTTCATAATCTACAAGACTGTCGACATCTCTGGGAATAGACTCGAAGGAGACATCCCTGAATCTATCGGTTTACTCAAGGAACTGATTGTACTTAACATGTCGAACAACGCTTTCACAGGCCTTATTCCGCCATCATTGGAGAACTTGGCCAAACTCGAATCACTTGACCTATCTCAAAACAAATTATCCGGCAAAATCCCACCAGCACTTGGGAAACTCACGTTTCTAGCACGGATGAACTTCTCTCACAACAATCTTAAAGGTCCAATACCACAAGGTACTCAGATTCAAAGCCAGAATATTTCTTCCTTTGCATGGAATCTCGGGCTCTGTGGTGCTCCTCTAGAAGAAACATGTGGTGGAACCGAAGAAGAAGCAACGACACAACATCAAGATGAAAAAGATCAAGTGTTAAGCTGGATTGCAGCTGCAATTGGCTATGTGCCTGGTGTGTTATGTGGACTCACCATCGGCCACGTTCTCACTTCATATAAACGTGACTGGTTTATAAGGGTCTTTCACTCTTCAATTTAATCAGGACATCAATTGTTTGCTAGGGATATGCTGTCTCTATCCTTGCTATAGTAAAATCAATAAACTTTTGTAATCATGTCTTATCTTTTTTTCAGACTCCAACATTTTTTCTTTGCCTTTACATATGTACAATTATTATCTGCATGTATGAAAATTTGAATCAGAAATGTTTCAGGAGTGGCATTTTTCTAAGAACATGTTTGGGTGGAGTACCCAGAATACGATAAAGATTAATTCAACCATGGAATTGTGAAAGCATTTGGTCAAATTTTTGAGAAAAATAATACTGCCAATGCGGTTTCAATGTTCTGAAACTTATTTATCTATATGTTGGTATCGAGTCTCAAATTTGAGCCCGACACAAAAGGCCCACTATAGCTGAATTTGATTAATAATGAATAGCCCAGTGGTATTGGCAAATATTGAAAAGCTCAGTGATGATATTGGCAAATATTGAAAAGCCCAAAGCCCAGCGACTGAGATCACCACAAAAGAGAGAGAACCACGCTTAGCACACGTTTCATCTAGTTCAAGTTTGGTCAGAAAGAGCAAAGCAAACTCTTCGACCCTTTCATCTCTAAAACTTAACATATAAATGGTAAAGAGTAAAGAGTGTACAAAGAGTGACCTGTTAACGGAAGAAAAAACTGAATTTTATTAAGGAACATAAAATGTATGTACAAACAGCTAATGATGGTTCTGAGGTTAATGAAAACTACCAAAAACAAAGCTCAAAGAAGAAGAAGAAGACCCTCCATTTATCTGTGTATATATATAACACTACAACTTCCCCATCATAACTCCTTTTCCCTCTCTTTCTTTCTTTCTGCCACAAACTTTTTACAGCAAGAAGTTACCCGCTGGATTTGGATCCAGCACTACCCATCAAGAAAGTAGAAAAGAGTTTCACCCGAGAAATCGGAGTTATAAGAAGACAAAAAAAAGGAAGCCCTAAGATGACGAAAACAAAAAGATTCTATGTGACCTAATCTTCTGGAGCTAACATCCGAATAACCCATTCCCCAGTAACTGGTTATTCGTTCAAGTGAGCAAAACTTTTCTTCTACCTTGGGCTTTTTGTTGTTATTAACTAGTATAACCAACAAGACTGTACAGGTATAAGATAGAGTGAGAGGGAAAGGTAACCTCATAACTTTATGTTCAGCCCTGAGAGATCATCCATTGGTATTCCAAGCTCCAGGATGTCGAAATCTTCTTCGTCATCCAAGTTAAACCATGAGCTAATATCACCTGGTTGCGCATCAAAATCATCTGGACCTCCTAAGCCATCTGGTATTTGCAGCTGAGATAAGTCGAGAATCGGCTCTGTCTCCTCCAGTGCCTCCAAGTTACCATACTCGTTGTTTGCTTCATTCGGTTTGGGTAATGATGCTCTGGGTTGCTCCGGGATCCTAACAGACGAAGATATCTGATTTGCTTTCTGCTTCGGTTTTGCTTTCGGTTTTCTTTCACCCTTGGCATTGGACAGGGAAGGCCGGCCGATCTTGTTGGTTCCGCTTCTAGATGAAGCCTGCCCTTTCCCATCTCTGTCCCTCTCACTTCTCTTTCCCTTTGTACTACTTGAGAGTTGTGTCCCAATACCAACATCATCAAGCAGCAACTCTCTCTTCTTGACCCTATTGGACCATCCTGTATCTTCTCTCCCTGTCGTTTGCTCTAGTAAAGCATTTTCAGATGGTAGAGCATCAGAACCATTGGCATAGTTCTCCAAGTTCTGCTCAATGCGTGCTAACGAAGAGCTTGGCTGTGAGCCAATGGGTGCTGTCAGAGAAGAAAAAAGAGGGATACAAATTAGCAGAGTGAATATGTATTTACAAGAGATTTCGTTAATTATATTTATTAAGGAAACAGATCGTACTTGAAGTCGACGGATTATACTCCTTGTCCGCAAGAGTATCTTCGGCTGTTGTCAACCTGGCAATGAACATATCCTTGATTTCAGGCTCACTGAAGCAGCTTATGCCCGTCTCTTCGAATTGATGGCATCGCTCAAGTGTCCTTTTAACAAAAGCCAATGCAGCCTGCTTTGATATCTTGTTAGTAGAATTCTTTCCACCAGCAGTGTGATGACGCCTACTTGCCTGTAAAAGAGACGAGACAGAGTTATCAACCAAGAACCTTGTAGTTAAGCAGATAAGTGGCAACGGCTATGGAAGCAAGGAAAAAAAAATGCTGAATAGGAGCCAATTTTGGGACAATTAGTTTACCTTGCTTTTCTCATATGCCATTTCGATGAGTTTATCATAGCCAAGCTGATCAAACTCCCTATGTAAAGGAAATAAATGCAGATCGAAACCATCAGATCATAATCCAGATCCAAAAAGGCGAGCACAAAAAGCAGAGTAAGGGAAAATTCATACTTCTCCTGATTTTCTTTCATCTCTATGGCAGGCTTTAGCAGCCTATCCACCATCTCTTTCTTCTTGGAAGTCTGGAAAAATAACATACAGACCATCAAACAGTGTTGTTTCTCTGGAGAAAGTAAACATGGGACACACACATATTGGGTTTTTGTACTTTTACAAGGGTTGCTTAAGAAACGTCAGAATTCACATGAAGTACTTAATAACCCGCAAGAGAGGCGAGAAAACCATAATAGATCAATATAGTATTTGATAAGAAAGACACCTCCTTGCAGATGGCCTCCTCCAACTTTTTAATTTCGTCAACAATTCCTTCATCCTCCACGCTTGAGATACTAGGCTGTGATAAAACACAAGAAAAGCATATCAAGTTGCAAGAAACGTCAGCAGTAAGAGGAAAAAGTACATGGCACTAACAAGTTTTTATATAACCTAGATATTAGACTGTATACCATTGGCTCTAAGGATATTCCAATAGACTGAGCTTCCAGATAAATCTTTTCATCTATCCCCAATTTATCATACTGAATGTCTAAGAAGTGATTGGATGAGTGATTTGAAAATTTGCCATTGCATTGGTGGGCTGACTTAACACCCTTGAACAGAATTGCTGACCCATCATCTTCTGATTCATCAAGTTCCAGCCATTCATTGTTTCTAAACCCATTGAACTCCACCATATTATTCAGAACACCCAATTCTGGGTCATCGTCAAGATCATGCATGGCCCCAAATCCATCTGACTGCAAATCTCCATTTACACTCATCGAGTCCTCAGAAATCAAAGCTGATAGCAACCTCTGGTAAAGTGGAGAAGCCTTGGAATCCACCCTGCTAGTTGCAAGTTCCTCGGGAAATAAATCACGCCTATCAAAGTCAGAGGATGTCAGCACGGATGAAGGACCCATGGAGGAGAGTTCTCCCTGAAAGAGGGGAAAAAAGCAGAACATTATAGACCATCTAAAATGTGTTGAAGTTAACAAATAGTGCTATCTATCATATTAAGCATGATCACAAATCTTACAGACACTTGACACGATTATTCTACTTGTTTCGGATTTTCTCGTTTACCTTTACCTTTTTCATTAGTGGGGTTACCTTTTCATTAGTGGGGTGCAGATAAATACGTAGGGAGCAATGCATAGTGAAATTATTGCGACTCTTATCCAAATACAAATCCAAACCTAATCTTCCTTCTAGCACATTCCTATCCATATATCTGTCAAATTCTTAACTATGAGATCTGAAAATGAAGTAAAAGGTATCACCTCGTGTTTCATGAAACTGATATGATCATCAGATATAAAGCAAAGGTAGCGGTCCATTTGCTTCCAGAAAGAGTTGGGGAAATTCTGAGCTGCACCAGTAAGCAGATAATTAAATCCAGAAACAAAAATTGGATACACAACATAAAAAGTGAATGAGGAAACAGAACTTTACCAAAATTTAAGGCTGAGTTGACAGCCGCTTGTAGCTCCTCATGGCCATCATCTGAACCAGCTAAAAAACGTAACCAACCCACATGAAGGAATAAAACAAAAATAAATCCAGCCAACAGAGCAAATTCTTATTATACTGAACTTGTTTTACCATGAAAATCTAGTGGTGAAGCATTTGTTGCTGTAGCTCTCTGACGTTTGTAAGCCTTGCGATCAGATAGTTTCCTAGTGGGTGGACGACCCACCTTACTGCAAAAAAATCACGAAGAGATCTATGAGATAAACACTATGGAGTCCAAAATACTTTAATCACACAAGAAAGAAAATTAGAGAGTACGTGGAAAACAAGAATGATCTCTACCTTTCGCTCTTGTCAAAAACAGGTCTTGCACCGCGAAGCTGTTTTGCTGTGCCAGCATTCTTAAGTTTCTCTACTCCCATTGGGTTGAGGGACCTTGTAGAAGAAAAGCCACGCCCCGTTCTTCCTTGTCTTCTCACACCATCCCCAATCTCTTCACCAGAAGCAGGCTTGCTGCTTTTTCTTGATTGTAAAGAAGGGATGGACACTTTAGGAATATTCTGTGCAGCTTTCCCATCAACCTCATCAGACTGTTTCCCCTTGTCTTTAGACTTGATCTCAGGGGGGCCAGATTCTTCGCTTTCTGATAAAGCTGCTGCTGAGAAGCTGCTTTCACCTTTTAGTTTCAATTGAGGAGACGCAGCTGTCGAGCGTTTATGACATCCAAACCCACTTTCATCTGATATATTATCTGAGTCCCTATCAGAAACAATTGGGACTAAATTCGTCCTTCTTATACGGGATATCTTTTGTGGTCTTTGACTGGCCCATTGAGTAACAGGTGGTGACGAAGACCGATTTGATGTCATACGCTTGCGATGAGTAACCCCAGACAATAGTGGAGGCTTATTTGTACAGCCAGAGATATCCCAGTCACTCGGGGATGGAGTGTTATGGAGTCCTGGAGACAGATTCGGAGGTAGCCCTGATCCCGATCTAGGCCCGCGAACTGAACCATTTGTTTTTGTGTTTGAAACCAGACTTGAAGAATTGAATTCATCGTGAATATTAGACCTTCAAAGAATCCAACAGAGTGATAAGTACATAGAACAATAATCAGACACAACAGTGGATAAAACATCAGGGAAGATGATATATGGTATGTTGCACTGAGACGGATACGGGAACGGAAACGGGAACGGGGACCGGGACGGGAAACGGCAAAACTAAAAAATTTGTAGATACGGGTACGGCATAAGATACGTCTATAAAATATCCATAGATTTAAAATATAAGAAAGTAAAATCATAAATATCAAGGTAAAAAAATACTTAGAAGAGATGAACAAAGCAAGTAATTGAATTGCTTGAAAGTCGAACCTAGAAAATGCTTAGGAGAGATCAGAGATGAACAAAGGGAGACAATCGTGAGACGTGAGAAGAGATGATTGTCATTAAAAATTTAAGTTAAAATCTTAGTTTAATCTAATTTTTCTTTTTTTCTCTTTTAATTCACTTTTTTAATTTATAAAAAAAAAAACATTAGAGAAACGTCCCCAACGTTACGGGTACGGGAAACGGCACCTAAATGACGTCCAGTGCATCATAAACTAAATTCTTATAACCAAGGTGCATGTGATTAGTGGATGTGATTGACTGGAAAATTCAAATTGTGTGATAACGATTTTAACACATACTTGTTGACAGCCCTGAGATTCACCCTTTCCTTATCTGAGCCAATGGAGCGTTCTCTCTTCTCAATGTACAAAGAATTATGATCCGAATCGACCCTTGGCAATGGGGAATGCCCAGCCAAGCTCGTCTGCTGAGAGAGGTTATCAGGTCTACCATAACCAGTAGCTCCATTACCAGCCGCTTGCCTATTAAATAACCATCAAAGTAAACAGAATCCAATTTGATCAACAAGAGGTGAGAAAATAGACATAAACACAACAAAGATATCAACTAGATCAAGTGAAAGGATCCCAGCATATTCTGAACCCTTGAAACCATAACCTAATCTTCTGAATCAAGGTCATCTCTTTAAGAAAAAAAATGACCAGTAAAATCATGTAAATAAATAGAGAGTGAAGAATAATTGACTGAAGTTCGTGACATTTCACTTACATTTTTTTCCTAATAAACTCCTAACGTAAATGTAAAGGGAAAGTAGTGCTTTTTTGCTAGCTTAAGTACATCTGAGCAAAGTCATTCCGAGAACATACCTCTAAGAACATGGCAACAATAAAAAAGGATAGTAAATATCAGCACTGGAAATTGTATGTTGACTGCACCAAAAAGCTATCGTGTACATACAACAGGTCGTACCTTAACATGTTCGAGTCACCATTCAATCTCGAGCGGGAGTCACTCATTGGCTTCTGTTGTGTGCCCTGCTTCAAGTCTCGATAACCATCAACCAATTTACTTGAAGCCAGGTTAGGATGACAGTCTGTTTTAATACAGGAGCGTCTTTTCTTCATCTTTGACTTTTCCCAACCATCAATACCAATTGAAGTTCGATCTTCACCCTGAACTGCACCATGATTTGCCATCCGTATCACTTCTTTATCTCTGTCTGCAGCAGCTGATTGTCGAACAATAGAGTTGCTTCGAACATCCATCTAAGCCACAAAATAAAGAGCTCAAGATTTTTTTTTTCTAAATCCACTTTTCCAGTAATCAGAAGCATGCAATAAATGCGAACAGAAAAGTGCATTATATATCAAGACATCAACTCAAACTTCATACATTAGAGGAAGTTATGTACAAAAAAAAAAATCTGGAATTACCATGGAAGTACGTGTTCGCTTATTTGGAACACCACTTTTAGGTCGTTCATCCAACTTTTGCTGGTCAAGCTCGAAACCACCAGCCAGGGTCTGACCTTGAATTCCCATTTTACCTGGGCCTGGTCCTGACGCCAAGCGATCACCAGAAAACCCTTCTGGTCGAGACCTCTTCTTTGTAGGCACACTTGGGAAAAACTTGTTAAATACAGAAGAAGCTTCGTTGAAAATTTTTACACGCTCCCTGTGACCAACAAAACAAAGTAAATGAGCCAAAAGAGTACTTCAAACACAACTAACAAACTTGTGTGGTCGTTAAACTACCTGGCCTTCACATTGTTTTCGCGCAGGCCAGCTTTTAGTCTTTTGATCTCTTCAGGTATAGGAGATGTAGTTAACTTCCCTTTCAATGCTACACTAGGAGACTCATCTCCTTGTATTCCAAGAGCAATATTCACATGCCGCTTAAAGTCACCTTGACGAATAGACCTGTGATCCGCGGCAACCACTTTTGGATCAAAACGCAAACACTGGAAGAAATTTGTTACATCGGTTTGTGCCAGTGGTGAAGTGCCCCTCAACATGTTTGGATGAGATGGGACAGGATGTTCCATGGACTCACGAAAGCTACTTGATCTTTCCATCTGTGCAGCAAAGTTGGATCTGTATAGAGGCCTGTCTAGCGCACCGGACGAATAATCAAACTTCCCAGGTGCTGACATCCCCTCACCTCTCGATAGTCTTATGTTTTACTATAAACACTAAATACACAGTGGAGTATGTCAAGCTGTAGCACATAAATGCTAACTATTCCGCTCTCAAAGTAATATCCCCTGCAAATGTGAAAGATGGAAGAAAAAAAACATTAGAAAGCGCCATAAGTTTTTGCCATGAGAACTGTATTTGTACCGTTACTTGGAAGACAAACAAATCCCAAAATGTTTCATATAGAACTTACGCATGAAAATAATCAAGAGAGTGAAGTGAAACATTTGATTTACACAGTTCATCTCTTGGAAAGGCCAAAAGTAGAAAGAAAAAACACTCCAATATCTAGACCCTATATACAAACACAGGAAGAATCTATATGTGGTTACAGATTAATTTGGTTTCTTCATGCAATCATTGCACATCTTTAGCTTCGTAAGCATATATTCATTATGAACTTGTAGCCAGAAACTACCAGAAAAATGCTCAACACTGAAAACTAATATATGCCAAGTTAAGAACTAAAACCAATAAACGAATACATTAACCGACCAAATTAGCAATTTTAAAAATAAGAATGACAATCTCTGCTGAAATTTGACATTGAACTAAGCAATAATAATAGAGATGCTCTCCAAACTATTCCAACCTTAATTCCAGGACATACCCAGTGATTAAACCCAGAGAAAAACAAAAATTGAAAAGAGTAATTCCTCAGATTTGCCTTCATCACAGCTAATATGCATTGTCCAGTAATCAATTATGAATATAGATTCCCCAATTTAGCACATTTCTTTTCCCAAGCTGAAGTACGAATTTGAACTGATCATCTCTAAAGGTTGATGCTTTCACCACAATCTAACTTCATTACCAAACATTCCCCAAGGAATCAAAACTGAGCCAGGAAATTTCGAGCTAAAATAGTCCCAGTATACTTCTAATTATAAACCCTAGGGGAAAGAACTAAATCAAACTTCAGAAATTTGAAGAAATGAACTAAAAATAAACCTTTCAATAAGCAGCGTAATCAAAAATAATTTACCAGAAACAAAACCCTATAATCCGGATCAAAGTTCAAAGATGAAACTCCGTACCTCGAATCAAAAACCGCGGCAAAGGATAAAAAAAGGGACAAAATCCGCAGAACAAAACTCGTTCCCAAAATCAAAGGTTTCGAGGATTAGAAAGCTTCGGCGAGTACGTAAAGAGCTCGAAATCGAAATCCAGCAACGTTCGTGCAACAGCCATGAGAGGACGGGATCGAAGCGGAACCAAGGCTTTCGTTTCGTTGCTGTTTTTGATCGGCGATGAAACTAGGACTGTTGAAATGACGAATTTACCCATTGTATAACCCCTGTGGAATACATTTGCCCTTCAAGGTGAAGGTAAGGGTAAGTTGGTAAAATACGAGCCGAGCCGGTTCGAAGCAGCTATGAGCCTCTGGCTATTTTACTGTTTACAAATGATTTTATCACTAAAATTGGTGATTTGTTCAACTTAACTCTTGATGAATAGGTTAAACATCATTAATATATAGAGATTTCTATTTTTCATGAGTTGCAAAACTTATTAAAAATCAAATGGCAAAAATAATAATTACATCATTGCATATTACAGTATTAGAAATCTATTAAAAGGACAAAAGATACAAATATTAGATGTCAGAATTGTATAATTGGCTTGGCTACTTTCATAGATGGCATGAGCTAAAAATTAAGATCTTTCAAGTTTTAATTATAACAAATTAAAAGATAAAATGTAAATAAGTATCTACAATATATACATTTAAATTCTAAAATTTTCAATTTAATATGGTCATTTTTAAATTGATTTATGAGGTCCAAAAGATTAAATTTATACCAAAATATATATTTTAAGTAATTAGTGTTTGAGATGTAATAAATCTTTTGGCATATGACAAATTATTAAAGAGTTTAGCAAATAAGTTTTGGATTTGCTTGCCTAACTTAGCTAGTGTAGTAAAATTATTAAGATAATAATACATAGATGATTGGTACCTAAGTTTTTCACTTTCCATGTTTCAACACTTGTTTTATCTATCAGTGTAATAGATAAACCCACATCAATCTCTAATGTAATTTATTACACTTGTTATATTCAAGTCTACTAGAAAGTAGTTAGGTGGTAACGATAATAACTAGTAAACAATGGCGGGAAAAAAACGGCTGGAAACTGCCACAATAAGAAAATGGCCGTACAAGAAAAATACATGAACGCCGATTCTGGGCAGATACATAAATCGCCGGAAAAAAAAAAAAGAGAGAGTCAAAAATAGCAGCTGCAAGCAATCATGGCTGTACATTGATACAAAAAAAAAAAGTTTCATGGGTCAAGAAAAGAAAAAAGTTGCAGAGGATTGCTTTGTAGAAATAGAGATGATGACTTGGATTGAACCATTGTTGTCTTGTCAAGCATCATCAATAGAGAGTTTTGTGTAATCAATTGCAGAATCACCTGAGAATTGAAATGAAAAATTAAAAGTTTTTAGAAGCATATTCTTTATTATTGCAATGATGGAGGAGATGAAAACATTGTAAAATGTTTATAATAACAAAGCTTACTTCGGGTGGAGTCAGTTGATGAGCGTGGTGGCGAAATGTTTCCTTTGATATCTGCATTCACATATTCATGAGAAAACGTAGCTCGAAATGCAGCAAAAAAGAAAGAAGAAGAGCAAAAAACAGTTGTTTGCACCTAAAGAACGGCGTGAGCCACGAACAGCGTCGAAGTTTCTGTATGTATATCCCACAAAATTGATATTTTGTGGGGTTATGCTCACCTACGAGGTACGATACAATCGTTAAGTAGAGAGCAAGAGCCTCGGAATAAGCAAAAACGTTAACTGTTGTACCTTCCATGATGGTCCAGATCCTGTTCTTGTTGGTTTTGGACAATCCACCTAAAGAAAAGAATCAGAAGAAGATGAGAGTAATGCAGCCACTGAGAAAGAGGATATAGATATTTTTTACCTCGTCGAATTTCATAAAATTCTGAGTGTCAAGTTCTCCATTGACCACTGGCTTAAAAGCTGCATCCATCTCATAGAGTTTATTCCATTCCACATCTTTGAACCAAGGATGAGCCTAGATGTGTCTTTGTCTTGTCAAAAACAAATTGATGGTAATAGACAAAGAGAAAAGGACTTGTTATTATATTGTACATACTTTGATTTGCTCTGCTCCAGCTCCATGAGAACCAAGCCTATGTTCAGAATCACAAAGCAAGCTACAAATGAGGTTTCTTGCCTCAGGTGTCAACCTTGCGTCATCGGGGAATACCAAATGAGTTCTCCAGCTCACAATCTAACATCCATCAAGCAAAACATTGGGATAATGCAAAGAGATCAAGAACAACGTGAAAAAGTACTGTAGCTTAGTAGCAAAGAGAGACCTTTCTACATGTTGTTACGGGGTCATCGGAGTAAAATGGGGGATAACCAACGAGCATCTCATACATGATGGCTCCCAACGACCACCTGCACTTACATGAATGCGGATGAGCCAATGAAAAGAAACAGATATGTCCTTAATTATGGAACAAGCAAGAAAAGATAACAAGCAGATCATGAAGGCAGAGTTCTATGGAGAATAATCTAAAGAGAACTTCGAGTGACCCACCAGTCACACTCTACACCATATCCCTTCTTCAGCAGCACTTCAGGTGCAATATAATCAGGGGTACCAACAGTAGAATATGCCTGTTTTCAAAACAAATGCAAAATCCAGAGGATGTAAGTCCAAAGGAGCAGTTTAAAGACAATCCCAAATATGATATGAATAAAAGACTAATCGTAAAGAAAAAGGCTTAAAACAGAGTTTTGTTCTATACTAGTTTTCTTCTGTTGATCTGCCAATGCTGCAGCTGTTCCAATGAACTCTTCCAACGCCTTCCACGGCGTCCTATCGAGCAGTTCTCGTCACCATCGATTGATTCGTTTGTATTCTCATCATTCAAAGGTTCATTTACGTTCAAAGCCGAAATATTTCTACAATCGAGAGGCTTACAAAGACCAAAATCTGACAGCTTCATATGACCATGCTTGTCCAACAGAAGATTGTCTGGTTTTATATCCCTGCAAAAGATCTACCATCAATATATATATATACATACAAATTTAACGCTGCATTCATCTTAATGAGCCCTGAAAAAAAAGTTAGACCAACCTGTGAACATAATTATGCTTATGTATCGACTCAATAGCCAAAACACTTTGTGCAATGTAAAACCGAGCCACGGTCTCAGTCAAAGTCTCTTCCCTCATAAGCAAAGTCATCACATCACCACCAGACAAATACTCCATGATAAGGTACAAATATTCTGGATCTTGGAACGAATAATAAAGTTTGACAATACAGTCACTCGCAACTTCTGCTAGCAAGTTCCTCTCAGCTCTAACATGTTCAACCTATTTAAAACGATCAACCAAAATGGTATCTGAAGACTCAGAACCTCAGCTTTTTTATCCATACATGTAAAATAAGAAGAGATTAAGGTCACTGTAAGACTCACTTGCCCTCTACTAAGCATCTCAGACTTCTTCAGCTTCTTCATCGCATAAATGTTGCCTGACTTCTTCTCACGGCATAGCCTCACCTAAGAAAGAGACCAAATTTACAAATGATTAAAGTGCGCCTAATTGCTTAAAATCGTAGATACATAAACCCAAAAAGACTAACCTCGCCGAAAGCCCCTCTACCAATAATACTCAGAAGATCAAAATCATCAACGCAAAGCCTGTTCCTCATCAATCTAGTATACTCTGTCTCTTTTCTCTGCAAATCCTCCAGCAACTCGTGTTGTTCTTTCTCTGATACATCTAAAGATGCTATCTTTTGTTCTAGCACCAAACGCCTGCAAATTTAACAAAACAGAGAGCGCTCGTTATTTTCATTCAGAAAACGGTTGTATATATCCATATAAAGAGCTCTCGTTATTTAACAAAACCTTACAGCTCCTAAAACACACCATATGCTAAACGAACGATACATTTCGCGAAATTCTGCAAAAACACCACTTTATATTGTTCTCTCAGGAATATCAACAAACAGATGATGTGTTTCCACAAAATTACCTTTCTTTACGTTGTTGGATGTGTCTCATGCGCCTATTGTAATGATCCTCAATATACTTCTTCGCTGCAGCAACTTTCTCCAATGTCGAATTTGAAACAAACCCTTCATCTTCCGAATTCTGCTCAGCCTCCGACATCGGAGCTGGCGTCATCTTCGTCACCATCATCTCCTCCTCGCATTGATCCGTTTCACAGTTCTCCATTTTTTTCTCTCACGAGAAGAAGAAGAACAATTCCTTTCTCTCTGTCTCTCTCTCTCTCTCTAAATGCAGAGAATCTTTGGCATTTCTCCCTCCATCGATGTTGAAAATTTTATGCTTGCGAGAACGAAAGCAAGTCTCTTTTCCATCGATCAATTACAATGTACAAGTTTGGAATTCAGAAATGAAATTCAGGAATTACCTGGAAATTTTGGTTTTCTATTTTTGCTATATTCGGGAAAAGGAAAGATAAAAGAAAACTCTACAAATCGGGACTCAACACGTGGATAGTGGATTGTATGTAATCTTTGATAAATTAGAAAAAAACTTTTTTATAATAAGTTACAGTGTCATTAGTTAGAAAACTTTGTTATAATTAGTTATAATAAGCTTTTATAGTATTAGAATTTAGGGAGACTCAATCTATATAATAAGGTCCTTAATTTTTTATTTCATTTAAGCATTAACTGATTAACATTTGGGTGAGTTAATTCCTATCGGATGCAATTATTACCCTTAACATTTATAGTCATATATATTATATATGTGCTGTATCAATGTATGTTTTAAGACATTTTTCAAAAGTAGCTAACAAATAAAATTTTTTTTTAAGATGTTAAAAAAACAAACAAAATTATTATAAAAATGTTTTATTTCATATATTCAAAAAAAAAATTATATTACTTTTGGGTTTGATTAACAATAACTGTAACTTTAACCGAGTTATCCAAATAATAAACAGCAAAAGTGAAAAAATATATTTTTTCAATTATATATTATGGCTTAAACAAACATAAACCAAACCACATTAACTCTTTTCTTTTTCCTGTCCATCACATAAACCCTTACAAACAATATATTTACATGCATACGTAACTAAAAATATTGCAACTCCAAATAAAACCCACAATGACAAAGTTAACTTGTTAAATTAACAACGGCATTAGAAAACCGGACTCTTGATTTCCAATCGCGAATCGCAGACCGGAGTGTATGGTTCGGTGTGAGCTTGAAGTGGTCGAGCTTTTGCCGAGTCACTGGTGAAATGTTGTGTTTCTCAAGCCACGCTAAAATCGCTTTCCTCTCATACGTGAATCCATCGGCTGCAATCTCTGGCTCATCCATTATCTCCTGTTTATACGAAGAAAATCAATATCAAAACCGGTTCATATTTCCGGTTATTAAAATTATATACCCAACAGGCTAAGCTTTTCACTCACTCGTAAAATGGGACAGAAATAATGACTTGGTGCACGCAAATTGCTTTGTTCTTTCTTTATCTTCGAATTTGCAGTCTCCACAAGCCGTTTCAAAACCGGTATAAGCTCTGTTTTAAGATCCGGTCTATCTCGACATCGAAATTCCGCACATTTTAAACCGAGCCGTGCCAATTCCTCGGTTTCCGCCAAAGGCCAATCCGTAACCGATTTGTCTAGCATTTCGGTTAACGTTCCTTTCTTTACCGCGTTTTCGACCGCGTGTACCAGCCCGCTTGGCTGACGAGCCGTCAACAGCTGAAGAATGGTTATTCCAAACGCGTAAAGATCCGATTTGGGTCGAATCGTTCCGGTTCGATGGTATTCCGGGTCAATGTAGTGCAATGTGCCGGCAAGAAGCGAGTGCCGGTACATCGTGACATTATCCGGTGCAACATCAGTAACCAGCTTGGCTAGTCCGACGTCCGCGATTTTGCTCACGTAGTTCCGGTTTAACAAAATGTTTCCCGGCTTTAGGTCGCGGTGAACAATTGGTTCCGGTTTAGAGCTGTGTAAGAAGGCTAAACCGCAAGCTACCTCGAAAATTACTCTAAACCGGATAAACCACGGCAAAGGCGGTTTATTTTTCTGGTGAAATATGTAGTCCTCGAGGCTTCCATTCTCCAAATACTCATAAACCAAACAGCCATTCTCCGGACAAGCTCCGAGGAGAAGAACCACGTGTGGGTGTCGGAGTTGGCTTAGAACCTCAACCTATAGAGAAATTATACAGTAAATAAATCAAACCGGATAAAACCAAAAGCTTAACCGAAACCCATCAGGCCATCATTAACATAACAAAACAGTGTAAATTGTATAATCCTATATTCCAATTCTAAGCCCTATAAACCCTAACCTGAGTTCTGAACCCTAAAACTAAATTATAAACGTTAAATCGTGAATCCCAAACCCTTAAAATGTAAATCATTAAGCTTGGATTTTAAACAAAATGGCCTATATAACATTTTACTCGATCTTTTTTAACTAAGTTTTCTTGGAGCTAGTTACCTCTTTCAAGAACTCTTGTTTCTTCTCCGGCGTATCTAGCCGGACAACCTTAACAGCCGCGGGAGTACTATCAAGGCTACAACGGTAAACTTTTCCGTAACCTCCTTCTCCGATCACTTTGTCCGGCGAGAATCCTTCGGTGGCTGTAACAATCTCCTCGATTGTGTATTTCCTGTACCGGTGATCGGTTCCTAGAAGCTGATCGATCACTTTCTTCTTCTCCAAGTAAATCCTTAAAGCATTCACTTCTGCGATCTGTCGCTGACAAAACTCTCTGGCAAGCAACGCTTTTGCGGCTTCTACTTCTTTGACCGCCTTCATGTGCCGCTCTTTCTCCAGCGCTGCGGTTTTCCTCTGCAGCTCTTCTTCCTCCACAGCATTGTTCATTCTTCTACTGTCGTTCACACATTCTGACGACAGCACCTGAACCTAGAAGAAACCCACAAACCAAAAGAAATACTTTACTTGAAGAACAAGCAATCAATATGATTCACCATTTCAAAAATGTCCCATCAAAACTATAGGTAATGATTATATATTGACGTGTTAGAAGTTTAACACTTTGTTGGAGCTTGTTTAGAGATTTAAATTTTTAGACAACCATCATATACATATGTACCTTGTTTTGTGTAGAGAAAAGCTCTTCACAAGCTTGTTTATATTTAACGACCGTACTTTGTAACTCCTTCTTCAAACGCTCGACCTCTGCTTCAATCTCAACCTGTCAAACAAACACTGATGAATCTTCAAGCTCTATCTTCCTTCTTACTAGTGTCTCACCATTGAAAAAAAAGAAGATGATAAGTATACCTTTTTGGATTTTCTAGATGTTGCGGGTGGCGAATCAGAGTCTCTTTGTTCTCTGACGATGTTCTCAAGATTCGGTTGGGGTTCGGTTGTTTGATCAAAATATGAGTAATCTAGCTGTGGAATATCTGATCCTCCACGTCGCCTTGCAATCTCTGGTGCTGTTGCATTAGAAGCCTCACTACTTTGAGGCGTTCCGGGTTTACTATTAGCGAGGCTTAATGACTCTAATCTCAGTTCTCTAGCCGATGCTGACCTTCTTGTTCCTCCCTCTTCAACACCCAAAAGAAATAGAAAAATCTCAGGCTTTCATAGAGTTCATTTAGGTTAGACTTAGGCATACATGTATACATGATCATTTTGTATAATACATATGTACACATTATCATTTTGTATATTCGATTATGAATCTACGAACGATATGCATGTTCCTTACAACTTTCGACGTCGAATTTTATTCTGAGTTCATATTTTGAATTTAGATTTAGAGTTATAAGATTATACAACTAGTTCTTGTTATGTTGCGAAATTTACTTTATATCAAAATGAATCTCCAACGGATATTTGTATATAGTTTACCTATGGATTCTCGAGGATCAGGTAACGTTTGAGACTGTAGAGTGTGGAAGCTAGCGGCCCCGTCTTTCAGGAAACCGCGGGCGATCGCGGCTGCGTTTGGACTTGTGCACGGTGCTGATAATTAGACGTTTAAACACTATTAAAGAGAAGTTTCTAGAAGCAAAAACACTGCATATTGGAGAAATTTAGATAATAAATTGTTTTTTACCTGCGTTGATTAATGGATCCATAGATTTTGTAGTGATTCTGTCCCTACACACAATGTATACTTCACATGTTTCTGGAGCGTATCTTAAGACAGTCAATGGTACTCCTGGACCTTTTGTTCTCCTAAACCGAAGTAAACCGTCCAGTTAGTACTGTAGATAACCGTATCTTAAGACATGGTACTCCTGGACCTTTTGTTCTCCTAAACCGAACTAAACCAAACTGAGCTATTTATATACCGTGTGAATAGGTTTGAAGTGAATGATCCCATAACCAAACTGTTAACTCCTGATTTGTATATGAACCTTAGAAGCGCTTTTGCTGGATCATCGTACTCTAGCAACAGAGTCTCTACCTGACACTGAAGGTTATGTATATAATTCAGGTAATTTACAGTTTGACCCTAAAACTTCTATAGATTTATAAAATTGGGGGACTGAAAAATAAAATAAAGAACCAACCTTGGTGCTACTACTAGTCTTGCACATTTTCAAGAAGGGAACAAAGACTGTTTCAAATTCTTGTTTCACGTCTCTCACATACATTTCCACCAATCTCTCCTCCACTTCCTCCACCGGTAATCTCTCTCCGGCTGCAACAACCACCATTCTCTTAAACATTAATCTCAACAAAAATGTTGTCAAATTACTTAGAGATTATAATATCAGAGCATAACAATAACAATTCTCATGTTATCCAATAATGAGTTTTACAAAAATTCTTTAACATTAACTGATTTCTAGAGTTTTAAAAAAATGCTACATATATATAAATATTAATTAATGAACATGTACCTAAATGTTTCTTTTTGGTGTGAAAAAAAAAAATTGACTTATTTCCTATTGTCTTTTCGCTTATATATTTTTTTGTCTTTTAATTCATGTGGAAAATGAAAAGAAAATAAAAAGCAAGAAAAATGTGAAATGTGTTGTATGAATAATTGAGAGACTTACTAGGTGTAGGAATAGTAGTAATGGTGGGAATGACGTGAATCATCACAAACCGATCAGCTTTCGGTAAGAGATTATCGATGGCCCACCGTACGGCGCGGCGGCTTCCTGCGCCGCCGAGTTTATCTCCGATGATACCCTTCAC